TAGTGCTGAAGGTATGTACGTTAGTATTGTGCATTGTTATCTGAACACTAGGTACCCAACAATCCACCAACCAAAAAAATGAAAGTCACCACATTATAGCATTTTATAGGTGTCTCTTGTATTCTTTGATGGGAATATATAGAGTCATAGAGCTGTATAGCACAGAAACAGACCATTCAGTCCAACTCATCCATGCCAACCAGATATCCTAAATCAATCTAGTCCCATTTGCCAGCATTTGGTCCATCTCGCTCTAGACTCTTCCTATTCATGTACCCATCAAGATGCCTTTTAAATGTTGTAATTTCACCAGCCTCCACCACTTCCTCTGGCAGCTTATTCCATACGAGCACCACATTATGTGTGAAATAGTTGTCCCTTAGGTCCCTTTCAAACCTTTCTCCTCTCACCTTAAACCTATGCCCTCTAGTTTTGGACTTCCCTACCTTGGGAAAAGGACCTTGACTATCCACCCAATTCATGCCCCTCGTGATTTGATAAATCTCTATAAGGTCACCATTCAGTCTCTGACACTCGAGGGAAAATAGCCCCAGCCTGTTCAGCCTCTCCCTGTAGCTCAAACACTCCAACCCAGCAACATCCTTGTAAATCTTTTCTGGATGCTTTCATGTTTACCAACATCTTTCCTGTAGCAAAGAGACGAAAACTGACTGCAATATTCTAAAAGTGCCACAATATGACTTCCCAACCTCGATACTCAATGCATCAACTAATAAAGGCAAGTGGACCAAATGCCTTCTTAACTACCCTATCTACCGGCGACTCCATTTTCAATGAACTCTGAACCTGTACCTCAAGTCTCTTTGCTCGGCCACACTCCCTAGGACTCTACCATTAAGCATATAAGTCCTGCCCTGATTTGCATTTCCAAAATACAGCACCTCAGATTTATCTAAATTAAACTCCATCTGCCACTCCTCAGCCCATCAGTTCAACGTCCCATTGTACTCTTAGATAACTTTCATCGCTGACCATTCCACCACCAATTGTGGTGTCATGTGTAAATTTACTAACCATACCTCCTATATTCATATCCAAATCATTTATATGACAAAAAGCAGCGAACCCAGCACTGATCCTTGTGGCACACCACCGGTCACAGGCCTCCAATGTCAAAAATAACCGTCCACCACCACCCTCTGTCTCCTACCTTCAAGTCAGTTCTGCATCCAAATGACTGGCTCTCCCTGGATTCCTTGTGATCTAACTACGCTGACCAGTCTACCATGCAAAACATTGTCGAACACCTTGCTGAAGTCCTTATAGACAACGTCCTCTGCTCTACCTTCAATCTTCTTTGTCACTTCTTCAAAAAAATCAATCAAGTTAGTGAGACAAAATGTCCCACACCCAAAGCTATGTTGACTATCTCTAATCAATTCTTACCTTACTAAATACCTGTAAATTCTGTCCCTCAGAATTCCACCCAACAACTTACCCAGCACTGACATCAGGCTTACCAGTCTATAATTCTCTGGCTTTGCCTTACCACCTTTCTTAAATAATAGATATTAAGTGACGTTAGCCACCCTACAGTCTTCCAGTACCTCACCCTTGGCTATTGATGATACAAATATCTCAAGGTCAAAAATCATATGACACCATGTTATTTCCAACAGTATTATTTGAAGACAAACTTTCAGAGTCTCATTCCTTCAGGTGTCAGTGGGAGAGGTGGCATCAGACACAGAATTTATAAGCAAAAGGTCAAAGGGTCATAGAACAAATGCAAATGTATTGACCAAACCTAAGATGGTTGTTAAATTTTTAATCAGGTAGAAAGGATTAATATGCAAATCCTAGAATTTCTTACAAGTCACTGATTCAAGATAACTAAAGGTTTTATCAGTATCCAAAAGTGACATCTCAGATCAGACAATGCAATTTAGGTCTGAGGCCTTGTTTAAAATCTGGTTGTGTATTAACTTTGACTCAGACTGGTTTTATTACCAAAATAGGAATTTATACAATGCCACATTGAATGTCTACAAATTGTGCGCTTTTTGAACAAACTAGAACGTATCTGCAAATGCAAATTTACCCCATAGATTTATACTTGTACGTGTGTGTGTGTGTGAGTGAGAGGAGAGAGAGAGTGCGCGTGCTTGAGACAGGGTGTGAACATGTGCATATGTGAGAGTGTCTGTATGAGAGGGTCTGTGTTTGTGTGAGAGTGTGTGTGCGTGTATGAGAAAGGGTCTGTGTGATGTGAGAGTGTATAGTGTGGTGGGGTCACCTGTAGTACAATATGAACCTAAGATCCCAGTTGGGGCCGTCTTCATGGGTACCAAACTCGGCTATCAGCCTCTGCTCGGCAACTCTGCGTTGTGGTGTATGCAGAAATCCACCTTGGAGGCTGTTTACCCGAAAATCCAAAACCGAATGTCCTTGACCGCTGAAGTGTTCCATCCCTCAACCAGGATCTTGGGTTCAAGTTGCACTACAGGTGACCTCTCCCTCAGGCCCACGTGCACACACACACTCACACTCATACTCATACACAACCCCCCAGTCTCTCAGACCCGCACACACCCCCCCCACCCCAGTCTCTCTCAGCCCCCAATGCACTCACATACGCACATGTGTATACGTGCACACACACACAAATGGGGTGAATTTGCATTTGCAGATTTGTAATTGCAGATACATTCTATTTTGTTCAAACAGCACATGATTTGTAGACAGTCAATGTGGTATTGTATAAATTCCTACTTTGGAAATAAAACCAGTCTGACTCCAAGTTAATACATAGTCAGATTCTAAACATGGTCTCACACATCAAATGCATTGTCTGACTTAAGTATACCTCTGGTATACTTTAGTTAGCATTAAACTGCCAGTGCTGCCCATCCCTGAGCCATGTTTTTGTGATAGCTATATCCAAGTTTCAAGTTCCCAACCATGGCCTGAGTTCATCTGCCTTACCTGTCAGGCTCATGCATTGAAATAAGAGCAGTTTATCAGTCTCACCTCGTCCTCTTGCCTGCCTTGACTATTTGACTTGCTCCTCTTCTCAACTGTACCATCCTCAGTAGAGAACAATATTTTGGGGAAAAATACCAAAACTTACTAAAACTAATTAATTTGGCCAACATCTTCCTCCCTTTTTATAAAAATAAATGTCTAAGTTACAAACATAGGAAGAGCAAGCCATTCAATATTTCCATCTGTCTCTGGCATTGAGAATTCTAAATATTCACTACCCTCTAACTGAAACAATTCTTCCTCATCTCAGTGCTAAATGGATTGTCTTTATTCTCTGTCCCCTGATTCCAGACAACACAGACAAAAACAAAAACATTCTTTGTGCAACTACATCTAGTTCTTTATGGATTTTTAATGTTTCAGTGAGATCACCTTCACGCATCTAAACTCTAGAGAATAAAGGCCATTTCCTCAATCTCTCCTCAAAAGGGTATTCTAAACTTTTACAGCACTGCCTCAATGGAAAATATATCCCCCTTCAGTTCAGGGGGACTAAGATTCCACACTCATATCCCATGCATTGTCTCACCAAGGTTCTATATAATTGAAGTGACACATCTTTACTCCTGTAGTCATTAAGCATTTCAATCATTGACAGGTCAACATTGTTTTTGAAGTCTCAAGTTAAACTGGGCTGCTAATAAATAAACTCACATTCAAGTCTGTGGACATAATTATATAATTGTACAAATCCTCATTGTAACAAATTTTGGCAAAGACTACCAAGGTCTTCCACATGTGCACTATTAAGCCAAAACTCTTTGAAGCCCAAAGTAAGACTAATAACTGATTGCTCAAAAGGAATATATCAACATAATTAGATTACATGAAGTAGAGAGTCAGAGTGCAGTAGAGGCCTTTTTGCCCATCAAGTCTGTATTGCCATTCAAATGTCTTCACAAGCAGGAAAAAATACATGAGGCTCAAAACAAGTTTGCTGTCAAAACTATAATGAGGTTTTTTTTGACATTTTGCATTTTTTTGTCATTGGTAGCACAAGTAGTTAGCACATCAATGGGCAGAATCAAGAAATGGAGAGATGCTGATTTAACTCCTGTACTTGGGTTTAACAAAAGCACATTTTCTGCTATCAAAGTGTCAGACATGCATTGATGACACCTGCTGGGTGAGGAAGTTAAATATTAGCGGTATAGTTGTCAAAATGCTCTTGCATGTTTAATTTAGCCAAGGCGTAGTATTAGTAAAGAACTGCAGACTGTTAACCACTTTCCACAGGTGCAAATCCCCGAAAATAATTTTAGAAGCAAAACCAGGAAGAATGTGATAGCAGCAAGAAATGTCTCTTTGTAGTCAATCTAAATCAGAGTAAGATGTTGCTACCTAATCATTTAACTGTTTAGAATAAGGCTACTATTTTGACATCCAGTTAAATGGATAGCTTTATTAAAGTTTTTTTTAAATGGAATACAAAAAATCCTGGCTACAAAGCTTCCTGCTTAAGAAATCAGTTATAGGATGATTACGGTTTTTAAGAAAAATAACTTCAAGCTAGGAGTACCATGAAACTTAGGTTTCAGAGAATACATGAAACCTGACTTTTATAGCTTCATAACTTTTAACATATTCCTAACATTTAGTCCTCAGTATCATTATCATTCAGTACCTGTATCATGCAACATGACTATCCTCAGCAGCCTTACATAAAATTTATACAAACAGGAAGAGAAAGAACCTAAGTGCCCATTTCCTTATTGAGAAATCTAACTTTTTAGCTCTCAGCAACATTTCAATATGGTCATAGACCATAAGCAGCGATGGTGCTTTTGTAAGATGGGTATTTTGTAAATTTTTTTGAAATACGGTGCAGGGATTCTCTGCTGCATAAAGGAAACAACTGGTGCATTTAACGTACACAACATGCCAAAAAAATCATTGAGATGTTGAAGTCTGTACTATTTCATGTAGTTGGAAGAGAAACATACGTTCAATTACCTGCACAAAATGAAATAAATAAAGACACATGGACACAAACCTTAAGTTTATACAGAACATTATGGTTTAATCAGAAAACATGTATAGAAGGAAAAGGAAAACAAACAGTTAACTGATGTCAGTGATTGAAGGTATCCATAGGTAAACTTTTCTGGATAATCAAGGAAACATTATTCTTTACTGCTCTGAGAAGTAATTTTCCAGATCTTAATTACAACTTAGTATATCTGAAATTGAAATTGACATTTTAGAGATTTACCAGTGTACTACTTAAGGTCTTTATATTCATTTTGTTACTGCAGGTGACTTCCAGGCACTGCCACTGCCACTGCCACAGGTATCTACTAGTGATTGAGAGCAAAAGGGTTCTAAAGATTTCTGGTTGGATAAAAGACTACCCAGTAAAAGCACTGTTCAGCTTAGAGAGACTAATGGAATCAAGGATGTTAAAGCTGCAAAAGCAGTTTTATTAATTGCACTATAGATCACTTCATTCATGCTTTAAGAATCAAAATTACTGTTCTTTCAGAATTCCAAGTTTGCCATGTTAATAGTGGAAGCAACTGTTTAAAATAATTTTTAGCCTTTAGCCTACAACAGTGGTTGAGCTCTAAACAAAAACTAAATGGCATAAAACCCAGTCAACCATGACACAACTGGTCCAACTCAGTTCAGACATTTGCTTGTGAGTTCAAGCACCATTCCAAAGACTGAGCATGACATTCTGAGCAGACATTTCCACATTGAGAGACTGCTGCATTGCTTGGGATACAGTCTTTTGTATGAGATATTAAAGCAAGGCACCACCTTTCCTCTAAACCGATAATAAAAGATCACACGCTATTATTTCCGGTGTTATGTCCAATGTTTATTCTCAATCAACATAACCAAAAAGACATTAGCTCGTCATTACTAAACTGTTGTTTCTGGGACCCTGCTGTGAGCAAGTTGGCTGCTGCATTTCCTTCATTACAACAGTGTAACACTTCAGAAAGTACTTCGTTAATATCCAGAAGCAATGAAAGGTGATATTTAAATTCAAGTTGTTCCTTTCTGTTAGGCCACCATGAAAACTACTATTTAATGTATTTGTAGTTATCGGCTTTTGATCAATTTAATTAAACAAATTCAAGATCCAATCATTAGCCACACATTGTCACCCACACAATTTTTCGCTGAAGTTGTTTACGTGTCAACAATTAAATTGAAATACAATAACTTTTAGATTAATTTTTTTCACCACTGAAATATCTTCCTATGTACGTCATCTTTCACACAATTAATATGTTTACAAAATTAGTCACAGCAAAATATTTTAATGTTGAATACAAAATATTAGTTCTGCTCTCATCCAGATTTAATCTGATTGATTTGACTGTAGTTATATTCTTTAATATAGTTAACATAATTTTATTGAATGCCATTCTGTCAATATTGAACAAAGGAAAATCCCCAGTCTTTTTTAAAAACAGCATTCGAATTTCTACACCCAGTTTTAAAAGAGAATTATAGTTCAAATGCAATACCTTTCTTTAAAAAGACTTCACCCTTTAATATCAGAGGAAAATTTTATTTACAATTTAGTGCAGGAAATTACTGAACATTAAAGCAATGTTTTGATTACTATATTGTATTTCACCTTGCTTAAGTGAAAACGACAACTTTACCTGATAGCATATGATGTATATGTAGTGTGAAGCATTTCCAACTCATTACACACTGTAAGGAGTGTGTAAACTGTAAAGCAACATGCTGCTTCAGTGAGGGATGCAGGGGTCTCTCAATACCCAACTTAGTCAGTTACTAATTAAGAAAGCTGTTAAAATATCAAAGGTGTAACTATTACATCATGCAGCAGTTATAATGGCCCAATTCATTCATGGGGAAAATTCAATTGGCATTTAAATTTGATTCAGACTCTGTTTTTAATCCCAACATCACATCTTTAGATACCTAAACAATGCTAGTTACCATATTTCATAATGTCAACATATTCAAATATTCAGAACTTTGATCTACTACGCTGCAAACATTGTATTTTGTCAAGCATCAAACATCATATATTAAACATCAGTAATTTTTAAATTTTACAGAATGAACAAGATAATCTCTCAAACATCTAAAAAGAAATGGATTATTTTATCCAGTCAAGTTCTTCTTCTGGAAACTTTCTTTCAAATCAAAAATGCATGATTTGGAAAATAAAAACCAGATAAAATAAGGAAACGTGAATTTTGCATAACTAACTAATTTCACTGTAGTTTTAATATTATCTAGGAAACAGACTGTTTGATTCAGCCAGATGTAGACTGCAGCAAAGAGTTGATAGTTGATTAAACAGCATATACAACAGGTTATTTGAACTGACCTACATCAGTTGTCTATTACAACACAATAAGGTAACAATTAAATCCAATCTTCCAAATGGCAAAGATTGATGAAAATTAGCTGTATTTTTGCTGATGAAATCTCTATAGTGGATACTTTTTCCACAGCATGAATATAGTGCAATGAAATAGAAAGCAAAAGCCAGTTCTGGTGATGCTTAGTGGATGTTTAAATCAAAGTCAGGAGTCCATTAAAAATAGTATGGATTAAACAAGATGTAACCTTGTAAGGAATGGATTTCTGCTTTGTACCTCTTGATTAAATGTACACTATTATGCCTCATCCACAAACAATGCATGCTAGTCCTAATTTACAAATAAATGGTCTCTCTCTTATATACACATGTTAAGAGTTGGTGTTTAGGGATGGCAATGCAGACAAGTACATCCTGTACATCACAGCATAAGGCTGACGGCAAAAACACTGATGACACAATACATGGTCCTGTTTTCCCATCTCACGGTACAGCTTCCTACAAAAAAAGATTGCATGCATTAGTCCATACAAATTTATGCAGATTTAATATAATGCAGATAAAATATAATAGCTTATAGTATTACAGACTGTATCTTAAGTGAAACCACATTAGAAAATATGCACTAATTACAGCAGTTTATACTTTGAGTTCATGAATGGAAAGGATATATGCTAAACTCTTGTTTTCAAAATACAGTAGTCAATTCAGTTGACTAGGGATGAAACAGCTGTACATTTTTTAAAAAGATGATCTGCTAAGGACACATGCCATGGGTTGATTTGTGATTTATTGTATCTAATCAATCACACACATCCACTTTGGCATGACAATTGCTTTCCAGTCTTAGCAAAGTTTTAGTACACGTTCGCCTCTCAGAAAACAGAAAAACTGAATTTCTCACTGAAGTAAAATGCCACTAGATTGGTCTGACATCCATCAGTTTCGATCAGTTGTCTGAATTAACTATCTTCTCCTATCATGCACAATATTATAATTTAGTATTCAAACCAACATATCAGACCTAATCTATTATTTAATAGAATCAATAGACTTTGCTTTGAAACACATGTTAATTTTGATTAAAGCACCAATTTTTAATGCATGCTCTGGCTTTAGAAATCTTTACAGCAAATGTTAAATATTAACACAGCAAGACTTACCATCAGTGTTGCTATCCCAGTAACATGAACTTGCTGTATGGAGACCAGCTCCACTTTTCTGCATTATCGCACAAGTCACTAGAATTATCAATACATCATAATTCACTGTGAGAATATTTTTTCAGACTAACAAACATACAAAGTAGAGAATATTTCTTTTATCTAAATGCTAGTTCTCTATTCTAACTTGGGAAGTTGGCATCCTGACAAGTTGTGTATTTATTGCCTGTCCTTTTTGGCCCTGTAAATTTCTAAGTGGATTTTATCCCTGAACAAATGGCACTGATTTGATACAACTGAGTGATTTTCAGATCACCTACAAAGTCAATTAACTTGGTATAACAGTTGTTATACAATACAGAGGTCAGAATTGATAAAGACACTAACATCCTGATAGGTTATTAGTGAAAAATCAATAATTTCATGGTCACTTTTACCAACTTTTTATAGGCAGTTCTGTTGATCTGCGTTCAAATTCTCAAACTACAATGGTGGGATTGCAACTAGCAGTCTCTGGATTATTAGTTAGAAACTTAATCACAACATCATTTTTACCTATCTTGTTCATAGCAACTCAAACATGGAAAAACATTCAAAAATATTCAACAATGTGCAGAGAATTTATAGAAGCACAGCTTAGTTTAACAACACATTTACAACTGTAATGCTGAGAGTAATCAATGGAAGGTAACAGTTGGCTGGAAGAAGCTCAGCACTGAAGTCCAAGGCCAGGTCTCACATCAAACTGAATTTCACACAAAAAAAAAGTACTGTAAGTTGCAGAATCATTTTTCTGTACAGGATAAGCAATGGAGGGCTTAAAAATAAAACAGCTGGAAGTTCATTGAACCATTAGAAATGAGGGAAAATTTTCAGTTTTAAGTCTTTCACAAAGCAGTCCTTTAAAATATAGTTTTAAGTAGTTTCAATGTTAGACAAATACATCTGCTTTCATTTTATTTATCTCATTCAGGTCAAAAATTCAAGAAGATTACGAAGCCACCAAGATAAATTAGCATTTATTCCAGACCAACATGATAGAAGTACCTGAATGATTTCATCCTAGTACATACTACTGAAAATTAGTCACCAAATCAAAGTTGAATTGTCAAACCAGTAACACTTATGCATACAAAGTAAAAGTATACGTTATGTAATGCTCATCTCAATTTTGTCTCATCTTTCTTAAAATTGTGAAAGTCAAACCAGGAATAATAGCAAGAAAGAAAATACTAGTAAACATCTTTCCAGGATTATAAAGTCAGCCTCACACGGTACTAAGACATTCTTATCCTGAAGTCTTCTCCCTACTTCAAGATGATGTAAGTAAGGTAAACAAATCTTATCAGCTTAATATCAATTTGTGTCTCCATAAAAATGCTGTTTTTTTTATTACAGAATACTCACCAACGTATTTAAACGGTTTTCCCATTTTAACCAAATGCATCAGGGATTGTTCAACTACAGCTGCAGTCCACTGATTGATCTTGCTGTGATTATAATCAACCCCTCCAATAATATTGTCAACGCACTGAAAACAAATCACTGAAATTAACTGCATATTATGGCTTAAAGATTTCTGCTAATATGCTTTACATACATTTGTAGGCATTCATTCAACACAGGATGATGACATTCTACTCTGATTAAAGATTAAATTTCAAGGAGAAAGGCAAACTTAAGTTGACTAACAGAACTACACAGTATTATTAGATAGCAACAATAAGAAAAGCCATCAAGGAAGTCCTACATCAGCCATTGAGGAAGGCATTATAGTACACACTGCATCATCCCCAACATCCCATTGTTCCTTACAGTTACTCCAGAGTGTTTTTAATCTTCACCAATACATCAAGACATACATTCTATCTGTTCCTCAGAAACAATGATCAAAACATACTAACAAAATGCTTAATCTTACTTGCACTGAATCAACCCCAATCCATCTAGTTGGCATGCTTTAACCTGTGGTAACTTCCCAATTATAAATTTTCAATGCCACTTAAAAAGGACACTGGGGTCTCCAAAAATCATACTTTATTCAACAGAGACTGGAATCTTTTAAACATGCTAACTCAAAATCCCTCAGATGCACAATGAGATTAGGAATAGCCTTTGAAGGATCAGTTACATCTAATTCAACCAATGTCCCTACCTCTGAACCAGGAGATCTCAGTTTAAGTCCCACTTGCTCCAGCAGTATGCAACAGCACCTTTGAAGAGGCTGACTAGAACTATCTAGAATGCTAAGCTAAATACAGATTGTCTTGTTAAACAAAGCACTATTTACAGACAGCCTTCAGATTCAGAAGGGAAGCCACATCTCAGCCCAACATCAGACATCACAGACATTAAAAACCGGAAGAACTGCGAATGCTTTAAATCAGAACAAAAACAGAACTTGCTGGAAAAGCTCAGCAGGTCTGGCAGCATCTGTAAAGAAAAAATCAGAGTTAATGTTTCAGATCCAGTGACCCTTCCTCATCACAAGACATTAAACATTGCTTTATTTCTAAATTCACCTATTTTAATGCAGCCTCTTACACTAAACATAAGCTTATGGACTTACCTCTTTGACAATATTGCTGGTTTCATCTGCATTGAAGGAAATCTGCAAACAAACAAATTTTAGTGATAAATGTGACATCAGAAAAGTCACCTATTGATAGCAACCTAGCTTACCTAAAAGCGATCATAAATAATTTTGGGGAATTGGGGAACAATCAGGATATGCTGGGGAAGAGAGGGACACGAAGTCATGTAGGGGTAATGAGATTGGGCCATGGGGAGGGAGGGAAAGAGACTGTTGAGAGTAGGGGATTGGGGAGGGTTTTAGGGCTGGTTTGGGATGAGGAAAGGTTGTGTGGGGAATGCTTGTGTGAGGAGTGGGAAAGGTTTTTGTCTGGGAGGGTGGAAACAGTTTTTTGTGTGTGGAGTGTGGGGTTTTTGTGTAATGGGAGTGGGGATGGGGATGGTATTGGGTGAGGAGGGTGTTGTATAAGGGGGTGAGGAGGGTATTGGGTAAGGGGGGTGAGGAGGGTATTGGGTAAGGGGATGTGAGAAGGGTGTTGTATAAGGGGGGTGAGGAGGGTGTTGTATAAGGGGGGGAGGGACGGTATTGGGTAAGGAGGATGAGGAGGGTGTTGTGTGAGGGGGGTAGAGAGTGATTTTGTCGGGGGGGGGGGCGTAGGGAAGACAGAAACTATCAGCGGCCGACATTTTCCTGATGATGATAGCCGCCGCCCTGACCAGGGTGGATCTCGGCTTCAGGCGGCTCTCAGCCCTCTCCGGCCGCATTGAAACGTCACCGAGCCAGCCATCAAGTGCGACTGCAACTCACCTCCTCCCCAGCCGGATACTCCTCCATCCTCAGGATCACACTGTTTCCCCTGAGTCGCTGCCTCTCCCTCTCACCGCCACCTGACGTCGGCCCGCAACATAGACAGCTGACGTAAGGACGGTCTGTAGGAAATCTCACTCCCGCCCCCTGGAGATCGGGAGGACCTCTCACTCCCGCCCCCTGGAGAT